GCAGCCGCATGAATCGCCGCCCCTCCCCCTGCCCCGCTACTATACCGACCTTGTGTCGCGGGTGCTGGTCGAGCGCCTCATACAGTAGCCGCGAGGGGGCGGCCATAGAGCGGGGAGTCCTGGCCGCCAGTTCTACCGCAGCCGCATGAATCGCCGCCCCTCCCCCTGCCCCGCTACTATACCGACCTTGTGTCGCGGGTGCTGGTCGAGCGCCTCATACAGTAGCCGCGAGGGGGCGGCCATAGAGCGGGGAGTCCTGGCCGCCAGTTCTACCGCAGCCGCATGAATCGCCGCCCCTCCCCCTGCCCCGCTACTATACCGACCTTGTGTCGCGGGTGCTGGTCGAGCGCCTCATACAGTAGCCGCGAGGGGGCGGCCATAGAGCGGGGAGTCCTGGCCGCCAGTTCTACCGCAGCCGCATGAATCGCCGCCCCTCCCCCGCGCGCCGCTACTATACCGACCTTGTGTCGCGGGTGCTGGTCGAGCGCCTCATACAGTAGCCGCGAGGGGGCGGCCATAGAGCGGGGAGTCCTGGCCGCCAGTTCTACCGCAGCCGCATGAATCGCCGCCCCTCCCCCGCGCGCCGCTACTATACCGACCTTGTGTCGCGGGTGCTGGTCGAGCGCCTCATACAGTAGCCGCGAGGGGGCGGCCATAGAGCGGGGAGTCCTGGCCGCCAGTTCTACCGCAGCCGCATGAATCGCCGCCCCTCCCCCTGCCCCGCTACTATACCGACCTTGTGTCGCGGGTGCTGGTCGAGCGCCTCATACAGTAGCCGCGAGGGGGCGGCCATAGAGCGGGGAGTCCTGGCCGCCAGTTCTACCGCAGCCGCATGAATCGCCGCCCCTCCCCCGCGCGCCGCTACTATACCGACCTTGTGTCGCGGGTGCTGGTCGAGCGCCTCATACAGTAGCCGCGAGGGGGCGGCCATAGAGCGGGGAGTCCTGGCCGCCAGTTCTACCGCAGCCGCATGAATCGCCGCCCCTCCCCCGCGCGCCGCTACTATACCGACCTTGTGTCGCGGGTGCTGGTCGAGCGCCTCATACAGTAGCCGCGAGGGGGCGGCCATAGAGCGGGGAGTCCTGGCCGCCAGTTCTACCGCAGCCGCATGAATCGCCGCCCCTCCCCCTGCCCCGCTACTATACCGACCTTGTGTCGCGGGTGCTGGTCGAGCGCCTCATACAGTAGCCGCGAGGGGGCGGCCATAGAGCGGGGAGTCCTGGCCGCCAGTTCTACCGCAGCCGCATGAATCGCCGCCCCTCCCCCTGCCCCGCTACTATACCGACCTTGTGTCGCGGGTGCTGGTCGAGCGCCTCATACAGTAGCCGCGAGGGGGCGGCCATAGAGCGGGGAGTCCTGGCCGCCAGTTCTACCGCAGCCGCATGAATCGCCGCCCCTCCCCCTGCCCCGCTACTATACCGACCTTGTGTCGCGGGTGCTGGTCGAGCGCCTCATACAGTAGCCGCGAGGGGGCGGCCATAGAGCGGGGAGTCCTGGCCGCCAGTTCTACCGCAGCCGCATGAATCGCCGCCCCTCCCCCGCGCGCCGCTACTATACCGACCTTGTGTCGCGGGTGCTGGTCGAGCGCCTCATACAGTAGCCGCGAGGGGGCGGCCATAGAGCGGGGAGTCCTGGCCGCCAGTTCTACCGCAGCCGCATGAATCGCCGCCCCTCCCCCTGCCCCGCTACTATACCGACCTTGTGTCGCGGGTGCTGGTCGAGCGCCTCATACAGTAGCCGCGAGGGGGCGGCCATAGAGCGGGGAGTCCTGGCCGCCAGTTCTACCGCAGCCGCATGAATCGCCGCCCCTCCCCCTGCCCCGCTACTATACCGACCTTGTGTCGCGGGTGCTGGTCGAGCGCCTCATACAGTAGCCGCGAGGGGGCGGCCATAGAGCGGGGAGTCCTGGCCGCCAGTTCTACCGCAGCCGCATGAATCGCCGCCCCTCCCCCTGCCCCGCTACTATACCGACCTTGTGTCGCGGGTGCTGGTCGAGCGCCTCATACAGTAGCCGCGAGGGGGCGGCCATAGAGCGGGGAGTCCTGGCCGCCAGTTCTACCGCAGCCGCATGAATCGCCGCCCCTCCCCCTGCCCCGCTACTATACCGACCTTGTGTCGCGGGTGCTGGTCGAGCGCCTCATACAGTAGCCGCGAGGGGGCGGCCATAGAGCGGGGAGTCCTGGCCGCCAGTTCTACCGCAGCCGCATGAATCGCCGCCCCTCCCCCGCGCGCCGCTACTATACCGACCTTGTGTCGCGGGTGCTGGTCGAGCGCCTCATACAGTAGCCGCGAGGGGGCGGCCATAGAGCGGGGAGTCCTGGCCGCCAGTTCTACCGCAGCCGCATGAATCGCCGCCCCTCCCCCTGCCCCGCTACTATACCGACCTTGTGTCGCGGGTGCTGGTCGAGCGCCTCATACAGTAGCCGCGAGGGGGCGGCCATAGAGCGGGGAGTCCTGGCCGCCAGTTCTACCGCAGCCGCATGAATCGCCGCCCCTCCCCCTGCCCCGCTACTATACCGACCTTGTGTCGCGGGTGCTGGTCGAGCGCCTCATACAGTAGCCGCGAGGGGGCGGCCATAGAGCGGGGAGTCCTGGCCGCCAGTTCTACCGCAGCCGCATGAATCGCCGCCCCTCCCCCTGCCCCGCTACTATACCGACCTTGTGTCGCGGGTGCTGGTCGAGCGCCTCATACAGTAGCCGCGAGGGGGCGGCCATAGAGCGGGGAGTCCTGGCCGCCAGTTCTACCGCAGCCGCATGAATCGCCGCCCCTCCCCCGCGCGCCGCTACTATACCGACCTTGTGTCGCGGGTGCTGGTCGAGCGCCTCATACAGTAGCCGCGAGGGGGCGGCCATAGAGCGGGGAGTCCTGGCCGCCAGTTCTACCGCAGCCGCATGAATCGCCGCCCCTCCCCCGCGCGCCGCTACTATACCGACCTTGTGTCGCGGGTGCTGGTCGAGCGCCTCATACAGTAGCCGCGAGGGGGCGGCCATAGAGCGGGGAGTCCTGGCCGCCAGTTCTACCGCAGCCGCATGAATCGCCGCCCCTCCCCCGCGCGCCGCTACTATACCGACCTTGTGTCGCGGGTGCTGGTCGAGCGCCTCATACAGTAGCCGCGAGGGGGCGGCCATAGAGCGGGGAGTCCTGGCCGCCAGTTCTACCGCAGCCGCATGAATCGCCGCCCCTCCCCCGCGCGCCGCTACTATACCGACCTTGTGTCGCGGGTGCTGGTCGAGCGCCTCATACAGTAGCCGCGAGGGGGCGGCCATAGAGCGGGGAGTCCTGGCCGCCAGTTCTACCGCAGCCGCATGAATCGCCGCCCCTCCCCCTGCCCCGCTACTATACCGACCTTGTGTCGCGGGTGCTGGTCGAGCGCCTCATACAGTAGCCGCGAGGGGGCGGCCATAGAGCGGGGAGTCCTGGCCGCCAGTTCTACCGCAGCCGCATGAATCGCCGCCCCTCCCCCTGCCCCGCTACTATACCGACCTTGTGTCGCGGGTGCTGGTCGAGCGCCTCATACAGTAGCCGCGAGGGGGCGGCCATAGAGCGGGGAGTCCTGGCCGCCAGTTCTACCGCAGCCGCATGAATCGCCGCCCCTCCCCCGCGCGCCGCTACTATACCGACCTTGTGTCGCGGGTGCTGGTCGAGCGCCTCATACAGTAGCCGCGAGGGGGCGGCCATAGAGCGGGGAGTCCTGGCCGCCAGTTCTACCGCAGCCGCATGAATCGCCGCCCCTCCCCCTGCCCCGCTACTATACCGACCTTGTGTCGCGGGTGCTGGTCGAGCGCCTCATACAGTAGCCGCGAGGGGGCGGCCATAGAGCGGGGAGTCCTGGCCGCCAGTTCTACCGCAGCCGCATGAATCGCCGCCCCTCCCCCGCGCGCCGCTACTATACCGACCTTGTGTCGCGGGTGCTGGTCGAGCGCCTCATACAGTAGCCGCGAGGGGGCGGCCATAGAGCGGGGAGTCCTGGCCGCCAGTTCTACCGCAGCCGCATGAATCGCCGCCCCTCCCCCGCGCGCCGCTACTATACCGACCTTGTGTCGCGGGTGCTGGTCGAGCGCCTCATACAGTAGCCGCGAGGGGGCGGCCATAGAGCGGGGAGTCCTGGCCGCCAGTTCTACCGCAGCCGCATGAATCGCCGCCCCTCCCCCGCGCGCCGCTACTATACCGACCTTGTGTCGCGGGTGCTGGTCGAGCGCCTCATACAGTAGCCGCGAGGGGGCGGCCATAGAGCGGGGAGTCCTGGCCGCCAGTTCTACCGCAGCCGCATGAATCGCCGCCCCTCCCCCTGCCCCGCTACTATACCGACCTTGTGTCGCGGGTGCTGGTCGAGCGCCTCATACAGTAGCCGCGAGGGGGCGGCCATAGAGCGGGGAGTCCTGGCCGCCAGTTCTACCGCAGCCGCATGAATCGCCGCCCCTCCCCCGCGCGCCGCTACTATACCGACCTTGTGTCGCGGGTGCTGGTCGAGCGCCTCATACAGTAGCCGCGAGGGGGCGGCCATAGAGCGGGGAGTCCTGGCCGCCAGTTCTACCGCAGCCGCATGAATCGCCGCCCCTCCCCCGCGCGCCGCTACTATACCGACCTTGTGTCGCGGGTGCTGGTCGAGCGCCTCATACAGTAGCCGCGAGGGGGCGGCCATAGAGCGGGGAGTCCTGGCCGCCAGTTCTACCGCAGCCGCATGAATCGCCGCCCCTCCCCCGCGCGCCGCTACTATACCGACCTTGTGTCGCGGGTGCTGGTCGAGCGCCTCATACAGTAGCCGCGAGGGGGCGGCCATAGAGCGGGGAGTCCTGGCCGCCAGTTCTACCGCAGCCGCATGAATCGCCGCCCCTCCCCCGCGCGCCGCTACTATACCGACCTTGTGTCGCGGGTGCTGGTCGAGCGCCTCATACAGTAGCCGCGAGGGGGCGGCCATAGAGCGGGGAGTCCTGGCCGCCAGTTCTACCGCAGCCGCATGAATCGCCGCCCCTCCCCCGCGCGCCGCTACTATACCGACCTTGTGTCGCGGGTGCTGGTCGAGCGCCTCATACAGTAGCCGCGAGGGGGCGGCCATAGAGCGGGGAGTCCTGGCCGCCAGTTCTACCGCAGCCGCATGAATCGCCGCCCCTCCCCCGCGCGCCGCTACCCTCCGCGCGACGCAAGCCGCGCGTCGCCACAGCTCGTCGCTCCCCTCCCGCGGGCAGTGGAACAGAGGCAGTATGGCGGGCAGCAGCGTGCCCCACGCGGCGGCCTCCGTGTCCCACCGGGGGCACTCCCCCCGCCCCGACCATAGCGGCGCCCCACCACTCACTGCACGCGATAAACAAACTATTGAAGGAAGCACTTTAAAGCGTATGTCATACGATACCACATTTGTTGATACTAAAATAACGGATAAAATACATATTCAGGGCGTCCCCCGGTTTGTCGCACGGAAGGAAAGTATATTAAATATTGAAGATAGGATATTTTACTGAAAGAAGGCAAAATTTAATTTTTAATAATCGCCTGCCGAAACCGGGAATCAAACTCGTGAAATGTGACACAAAAAACACATGTATTTTTTAAAAACCGTCGAAAGGGTTAATATTAAGGATATTTTTTTCTTAAATAACATAGCATTTTAAATGAAAGGAAGATTATACAATTAAGATTTTGTTTAGGAAAATTTCCTCCTACGATGTTTGTTTAGTTGTCGGCACTCACCTATAGCGAGGTACGCATTGTGCGGCGCGTGGGGCCGCAGTAGCCGCGCCCACTTGCTGCCGGTGCTGCCCCCCGCCCCCCCCCCACCCCCCCACACTCACCTATAGCGAGGTACGCATTGTGCGGCGCGTGGGGCCGCAGTAGCCGCGCCCACTTGCTGCCGGTGCTGCCCCCCGCCCCCCCCCCACCCCCCCACACTCACCTATAGCGAGGTACGCATTGTGCGGCGCGTGGGGCCGCAGTAGCCGCGCCCACTTGCTGCCGGTGCTGCCCCCCGCCCCCCCCCCACCCCCCCACACTCACCTATAGCGAGGTACGCATTGTGCGGCGCGTGGGGCCGCAGTAGCCGCGCCCACTTGCTGCCGGTGCTGCCCCCCGCCCCCCCCCCACCCCCCCACACTCACCTATAGCGAGGTACGCATTGTGCGGCGCGTGGGGCCGCAGTAGCCGCGCCCACTTGCTGCCGGTGCTGCCCCCCGCCCCCCCCCCACCCCCCCACACTCACCTATAGCGAGGTACGCATTGTGCGGCGCGTGGGGCCGCAGTAGCCGCGCCCACTTGCTGCCGGTGCTGCCCCCCGCCCCCCCCCCCACCCCCCCACACTCACCTATAGCGAGGTACGCATTGTGCGGCGCGTGGGGCCGCAGTAGCCGCGCCCACTTGCTGCCGGTGCTGCCCCCCGCCTCTACCAACGCGCATGCCGCTTGCTCCCAGTACCGACGTTGCGCTTCACTCTACAAAACAATACCTTCAAAATATTATATATATATATATATATATATATAATTATATATCAAACTCAAAGGTGACCGACTGACATAGTGATCTATCAACGCACAGCCCAAACCACTGGACGATTCGGTCTGAAATTTGGCATGCAGGTAGATGTTATGACGTAGGCATCCGCTAAGAAAGGATTTTGATCAATTCTACCCCCAAGGAGATAAAATAGGGAATGAAAGTTTGTATGAAACTTTGTCAATTTTAAAGCGATCGGGCTGAGACTTTGCATGCAGGTATAAGCAGAATCATAGATGAATGTCATTATGTATAATACAAGCCTGAGAACAAAAACTGTAGTCTACTTCAGCTCTACACCGAAGCGAAACGAGGGCGGGCCGCTAGTTTATTAATAAAAGGTAGGGCATAGCGGATATGCCGCTCGAATTGGAACACCCGCATGGAGAAGGAACCTCCGCCTGCCGGAAGAGCACAGTGAAGTAACACAGCCCTTTGGCGGTGTTGTGTTTCTGTCGGTGAGTAAGGTTCCAGAGGTCCGCGGGGCTGGGGATTGTCAGGATAAGCACCGGCGCGAGTGAAGAATAAAATGAAAGGCCCAAACTCCAACTCCGGTAGGAACATGAAGAAAATGAGTGACTGTATAATATTAATATCCATATTTGACGTTGTACAAATTGCAAATAAACATTGGACAGACCACTTCCTCATATACTGAGTTCCAGGGCCCCCTGGGGTGGGGAATTGGGTCAGAATAGGCCCTGCGAGTGATATTTTTGTATCGCAAGCGCCTCTAAGCTATGTTAGTCGCTTACCATCAGGCGAACCATAATATGGTTGTTTGCCACCTTTCTAACATGCTTTTATTAAGTCGACTTGTAACTATGTAATACGCATGTCTTATTCTTGTATCATCATGAAACTTGGTAATTATATGTGAATTAGATGACAATACAATATTATGGTACCGTCGAAATGGTCTGATGATAGGACTGGAAGGGGCTGGTGGAACCTTGGCCTGCCTACTAGTAAACATATCGAGTTTGGGCTCATTAGATTCATCTTAACACATTCTCTTCATTTTTCCTGATAACGAGAACCTGACAATGGACTGGAAGGTGGCAATTGAACTCTGAACTGCCTACAAGTAAACAAAACTCAAAAAATTTGGGCTCATTAGATTCGTCTTAACATAATAAAACTTGGCAATTATGTGTAGATTAGATGACAATACTATGGTACCATCGAGCTGGTCTGATGATGGGACTAGAAGGTGGCTGATGGGACCTTGGACTGCCTACTAGTAAACATATCGATTTTATAATGAAGCGCCCCACGCTTTTTCAGTTACATATATACGTAAAAATAATCTATAAACATGGCTTACTCAAGGGCTCAAGTAAACAGAAAGTATATTATGTTTATTTTGGCTTTTTAGTTTAACTACTAATTTTTAACATAAAATATCGCATAGATAGAGCGGTCCAAATAAATAAAGAAAACGGCTCAAGTTTCAAGCAATGTGTGCATGACTCTAATGTCAAATGTCCTAAAGCAGTCAATGTGTGCGTGTGTAGCGACGAGCTTACGAATATCTACCTTAATATGTAATGATATTTCTCGCGCCACTTCCGATATCGACAGTGTAGATAATAAAAGCCTTTAAAATTTATTCTAATAGTAAACCACAAATTATTGACGATTGGTAGGTATAATGACTGATGTAAAATAAATACCAGTTAAAAAGTGTGTATGAAACAGGAAATGAGCAGTAGTCAAAAGTGATGTTATTAATGGAGTTTTGAGCCGTATATTGCTTACATGTCCGTATCGATAGTGTTATCGCCAGTTGTAGACGGCGCTGCGGGCCCGATAACTGGGCGCGGGCTGCGGCCCGCTCGTCAGGGCCCGGGCCGGGGCCGGGGCCGGGGCCGGCCCGTAACGCGGCCTCTAACAATGTCCCCGGGTATACAGGTCCGTATTGATAGTGTTATACTGACCGCTTGTGGGCCGGGAACATTTGCACACAGATCGTTGACCAGTTGTAGACGGCGTTGCGGTCCCGATAAATGGGCGCGGGCCGCGGCCCACTCGCCGGGCCCGGGCCGTAATGCGGCCTCTAACAATGTCCCCGGGTCTTCGTCCTCGCCTGCCTCGGAGAGCGCCCTCGATTGAGCCTCCAACTCGTGTTCTATCTCCTACGCACATACAACGCATTATTAGAATAGAATAGAATAATTATTTATTTGCGTTTGAACAGGGTAATCAAGGTCATAAATAGTTACACATAACTATACTGTACGTTTCACCTATTCAGCTATAGCGATCTATAGCATGCAAATTTACATAAGTTTTTTTCAAATTAATTAATACTATGTCACATAATTGAATAAAATATAAAAATTCGATTAAAATCAGGTCATATTAAAATGTGAATCAAAAATATAATTAAATCAGTATATGTCACTCAAAATCTTATCCACCAAAATTACTATTATTTATATATTAGCTATCACAATTCAAGAATTCCTGGACCGAGTAGAATCTACGTTCAATGAGCCATCTATGTAGTGTTATTTTAAATCTACTGAAAGGCAAATCTCTTATTGAATGTGGAATATTATTAAAAATTTGAATGCACATATAGTAACAGTTCTTTTTAAAACGTGTGCTTTTAGGGATTGTATCAATGACTAACCTTTTACAATGTCTTGTATTTGTAGGAAATATCTCACGGGCAGTTTTAAAGTAATTTTGATTTAACTTTACGAACTTAGATATCTCCAGGATATAGGGGCATGGCAAAGGTAAAATATTTAGGAATTTGTAAAATGGTTTGCATTACATATCTGGTGCAATCCCGCATATTGCCCTTATGCACTTTTTCTGTGCTATAAATACCCTTTGTATGTCCGTACTATTTCCCCAATCAATAAGCCCATATCGCAAGACCGATTCCACATAAGCAAAATATGCTGTTAGAGCCGTATTTTTAGTTGCTGTTTTAGTAAGTTTAAAAAGTGCATAAGCAAATCTCTTTATTTTATTGCATACCTTATCTACATGTAATTTCCAATCAATTTTTTGGTCAAGCTCAATGCCCATAAAAGTAGCACTGCTTGTTTTTTTTATAGAATGATTCCCATAATGTACATTCAATGTCAGATTGTAACCGTAGTTCATATAATGTGTTTTGTTAATATTGATTTTTAAATTGTTATCATTAAGCCACGTTATCATCGATTCAATTGTTTTATTTATGTCATTTTCATGGTAATTTATGTTTTGATTTTTATCACTTGTTACTACAACTGAAATGTCATCAGCATATAGGATGCATTTATGTTTCGTCACTTTAGGTAACTCATTCACATAGATTAAAAACAGCAAAGGGCCGAGAATGCTGCCTTGGGGCACACCATAATTAGTTTCTGTGAAATTTGATTTTTCTTTATGTATAAGTGATATTACTAAGTTGAGCAATTTCCAGTGACTGCATCCTATTTTGAAGGTATGATTTGATCCAACTTAGTGCTTTACCTCTAATTCCACTTTGCTCCAATTTAAAAAATAGTTTATTGTGTGATACAAAATCCAAAGCTTTTGACATATCAAATAGGAGGACTGAAGTTTCCTTCCTATCATTTATACTTCTTAGAGTATGATCTACTAACTCAAAGGCAGCAAGTGCAGTGGATTTATTTTTCAGGAAGCCATATTGATTATCATTCAATACTTTGTATTTAACAAAGAATGACGTAAGTTTATCATGCATTATCTTTTCATATATCTTAGATAGAATTGGTATTAGTGTAATTGGTCGATAATTGTCTAATTGTAACCTAGAACCTTTTTTAAAGAGCGGTTTAACAATTGAATATTTCAGTTTATCTGGGAAAGTCCCAGTTTCCAAGGATAAATTTATTAAGTATGCTAATATTGTGGCTATCTGATCCCTGCAGCTTTTAATAACCTTTGTGTTAATTTCATCATAGCCTTCAGAGTTTGTTTTATTCAATGTCATGATAGTTTTCTTAATGTCACATGCGTTAATAGGAGAAAGATAAATTGAATTTGTTAAGTTGTCACATAAGTTTTTTTTAATAGGATTATTTGTATTATAATAATTATTGGAATTATCATTATTATTTGAATTCTTATCTGTCAATGTAATAAAGAAGTCATTAAAAATAGAAGCTATTATATTTGGATCCTCGATAATTGAGTCATTGTGTTTAATTCTGTCTATAAAATTGTTATAACACGATTCAAGACCAGTTTCGTTTTTTATTACATTCCAAGTTACCCTACATACATTTTTACTTTTTAATATATATTTATTATTTGTTGATTTTTAGCCATAAGGATGCACGTTTTTAGCAATTTTGAATATTGAAATTTATTAATGCTATTTAATTACGTTAAATGTTTAAGTCTAAGTTTTCTATTTGTGAGGCAGCTCTTCCTGAGTCCTTTTGTTATCCACGACAGATTTCTCTTGGTATTAATTTTTATTTTAATAATAGGAAATCACAGTTTGTATAGCAGACAAAACCATTCATAAAATATATTGAAGGCGGTTTTGTTCTTTTTCTTTGTAAACTTCATAGAAGGATAAACTTTTTAAGTAACCCTGGAATTTTTTAATATTTTCCTGTGAGTAGCATCTTTTGAAAGTGAACATTGCTTTGTCTATTTTTGGTTTGATTCTGCTATTGAACGTAAGTATCTGGGCCGTATCATGATCAGAGAGGCAGAGCGGGATTAGAGAACCAGAGGCTCCTGCAACGTTACTGAATATGTGGTCAAGGCACGAGCGCCCTCTAGTTGGTTGAGTTATGTGTTGTTTTAAGTTGTAATTTTTTAGAATATCTGTGAGTTGTTTAGTTGATTTATTTTCAATTAGAGTATTTATATTTATGTCACCCAATATTATTAGTCTTTTTTTATTATATTTACGTAGAAAATTATTTAGCAAAGTTTCAAATTTGTCAAAAAAGCATTCATAGTGTCTCCGTTTCGTAGCAGTTGATGACCGGTACACGCAAATAATGATAACATTTTGTGCAGGAATATCAACAGCACAACACTCAAAATGAAAATTTAGTGTAATATCATCAAATGTGGTAATTTTTTTTAAATGATATTCCATTTTTGACTAAAATACAAGTCCCTCCCCTTTTATTTTTTCTTGAGAAATGTGATGCAAGTTGATAATTATTAATATTTATATTTTTTTCATCGCCTCTCTTTACAAAGGTTTCTGAAAAACAAATGACATCTGGATATAAACAATTTTCTTTTGACAATGTAAACTGAATTACCTCCTTTTTGGACAACAAACCCTGTATATTCTGATGCAAAATACAAAATTTATTGTGCAATTGAGGACCGAAAAAAAGTTTTCTCATTATTTTTTGTGGCTGTATGAAATTGAGTGATGGTAGTTTTAATGCAGAAAAATAGAAGGGTATAGTGCCCTTCCTAGGTTGTGCAGTTTGGTTCTTATTATCAAAACGGACTGTATAGAATCAGTAAAACCGATAGAATGGTTTTTTTTTAATATTACTTTTAAATAAAAATACATAAAAACTATGGAGTTTATAAAATTTGATCCAAATTAAGCTTAAATTCCATACACTGCATTAAAATTGACTTACTTTGAGTGGGTTCGTGCAGAAATGGTTTCATATAATTTTCTATATAACATGGGATATTATATTATAATGTTGAACAAAAAATGATAAAAAGTTACATTTATTGCTCTCCTTAAATATTAATAGTATTGTTTTTAAGTGTTTGTTGTTATAGCGACAACAAAATTCAATTAACTAGTTATCAATATTCTCGAGATACAACCTTGGTGGCAGACAGACAGAAAAGTTTTCATGATAGGGTTTCGTTTTTACCTTTTGCGTAAGGAATTCTCAAAAATAGTATTATACAAATATTTAGATTTTTTTTTAATAAATCAGCGTTATATATTAAGAAAGGATTTTCATAAAGTTGATGGAGAGAGAGAAATGCAATATATCCAAGAAGTATAAAAACTTAAAAAAAAAAATTTAAGATACAATATTATAGGGCGATAAGAATATTTATGAACGTGGCGAAAATAAGAATTAACGCCCCGCCGCGCCGTCTTTGGAAATGTCATATTTTTATGTCATTTACATAGACAAGCGGCTATGTAAACAGGCATGACTAATTTTTTTTTCTTTGGACAACGTCATGCGTCACGTTTTGGTAAAATTTTCACTTAAAGGTGACGTCACGAACCCGTACTCCCAAACTTTGACGCGCTTTATCTATGTCATTTTTCGGTTGATCGTCCAAAGAAAAAATACGTGTCCATTATTTTTCGATCATCTAACCGACGGACTAAATAGAATTTCGTTTATTTTACTCCGCCATCGTGCCTTCTGTCTCGACATGCCGTCATATCGTTCACCATAAAGCTACCTAGCCGGTCGATTCCCTACAAATATCTAATGGATTAGCGAGAATAAAAATGGGTGCGTGTACTTATGTAGGCGCGTGAGAAGTTATCCTTCTTTGGCATCGTTTAAAATTAGTTTTTAATTGCATGCAAATAATTAATTACAATAAATTAATAAAAAGTCTGGAAAAGGACACAGTCAATAAAGTTCAGTTTTAATTTGAAAAAATAAATAAATAATCAAAATATTCAATTAAAATCGCTACTGAGAATATAATTTATTAGAACATATGTGATTTGCACTTGTATGAAACTCAAACACGTATTCCGAATGTACAAACTAGAAACATGTGGATAAATATTATAAATATGAATACCTATAACTGTTACTTTATTACAAAAAATAAAGATGTGGTTTTTGGTTCTACTACACCAATGGTCAAGAGATGGCGCTGTAGTCTCCTGAATCGCGCTTTGGTTCCGTTGTTCCAGATTAATAAATACTTTTGATAGGCCTTCACAATGCAGTCGTTAGAACCCACAAAATAGAGATTCTATTTCTATTTTGTTGGTAGATTTTCTTTAATGTGCGGTAAACACAAAAGTAACAGCATGAAGTAATCCACCATTATTAGACATCTGTTCGAAAGGTACTTTGAACGATCCACGGAGCTCCATAAGATGATCGCGTTGTCAAAAACAATGTTGGCACGCTCGTCGCCTCTGATCACTGTTTTCATATTTATAATATTTATCCACATGTTTCTAGTTTCTATATAGACACAACGTGTTTTAGTTACTTACAAGTGCTAATTACATATAGACTAATAACTTAAATTCAGTAGTGGTTTTAATTGAATATTTTGAATATTTATTTAATTTTTCAAATTAAAACTGAACTTAATTGACTGTGTTAACTATTTTTTTCCAGTCCTTTTATTATTTTATTGTAATTATTAATTATTTGCATGCAATTAAAAAATATTTTTAATGATGCTAAAGGTGTATAACTTCTCACGCGCGTACATAAGTTACACACATCCATTTTTTTTCTTTGGACAACGTCATGCGTCACGTTTTGGTAAAATTTCACTTAAAAGTGACGTCACGAGTCCCTACTCCCAAACTTTGACGCGCTCTATCTTTGTCATTTTTTGGTTGATCGTCCAAAGAAAAAATACGTGTCCATTATTTTTCGATCATCTAACTGACGGACTAAATAGAATTTCGTTTACTTCATCCCGTCATCGCGTCTTCCGTCTCGACATGCCGTCATATCGTTCACCATAAAGCTACCTAGCCGGTCGATTCCTAACAAATATCTAATGGATAAGCGAGAATAAAAAATGGACATCACCTGGCACCGTTCCTCGCAGTGCTTCAGCGCCGCCTGTTCCGACTCAGCAGTGAGGTCGGTCCCCCGGCGTTGCGGCAACATGGCGGCCACCAGCGTCGCGCGCGACACCGGACTGTCCCCGGCCAGCTCCCGCACCACGCGCGCCGCGTACAAGCGCGTGTACGACCAGTCCCCTGCCCCGGCCCCGGCCCCTGCCCCTGCCCCGGCCCCTGCCCCTGCCCCGGCCCCTCCCCCTCCCGCGCCCGCGCCCGCCCGATGCGACGCGCGGACTGCGTGCATCGCCACTGTCACGCCTGCCGCGACCCGCACATGCGCAAACATCAACAATCAACCGATATTCGAGTAACTTATAAGGTAATAATTTGACAATAATAAAAAAAGTACCGATAGTAGACGTCTGTATCTAAAATGAATTTCGTTTCGATAATTTTAGTAAAAAATCACGAAATAGAAAATAGTTTCATTATGTATTATCGCGTGACTGCAATATTATCGACATCTCGAGTTCTCTCGGCCTAAAATGACGTCACACATATATGTAAACTTTTAGTCGGTGTTTGGACCCGATTTGTTGCACTAAAAATTTTGATTCCGATAAATAAGCACGTTTATAATATGTTCATATACGCGAATAACGTAAGATCGTTTTTAAAAAAATGTTAACTACCCTACTACCGGATGGTCGAACCCTGCGGTACTCCATATTATAGACAAATATGAAGTTTAGTTTTACCTACAGCACTGAAAACCTACGACATGGATCGAGTGAAATCGAACTTATAACAACTAGGGTCATACATAAGCGTGTCCACGTCTCATACTTAAATAAAAAAAATGCACATATTAGACTTTATCAAACGCATTGTTAAAATCTGTTTATAATGCACCTAAACTACAATCGATCCGAAACTCTGCATATTTGTATTTTTGTTTTATATGAAAAAGAAATATAAATATCCACATTTTATGGAGTCACTATACATTTAGCAAATAACATAATGAACGTTTTCGGAAACTTTTCAAATCGCTTATTGTAGACGTTACCTGCGTCGGTGCCGTTGATGAGTGCCTCTATGCGCGCGAACTGCAGGAACGGCAGCGGGGAGCCGCCGCCCCACCTGCGGAGGATGGCGCGCGCCGCGTTACGCACTCGGCGCGCCTCCGTCTTATCACTCGCGTCCTAAACCACATCACCATTATTATTTGCAGTATAAATAGAGATTGGTGTCGATTCTAGCATGATTCCTTAAACTTAAAGAACAATGGTCAAAAAAACACCCAGCTCAGCCGACGATGTAATTAGTATGATTCGAAAGATCTATGAAAAATATGCCTTGTTTCTTACGACACTAAAAGAATATTCTGGTGGTCGAAAGGTATGCACATAGGCTATTTAAGTAGCTTAATAAAATCATTCAATATTTCTTCGTTTTGTACTATTAGTAGCTTAATAATGTAAGCCATATCACATATACATCCAGTTATGCTACAAAGTCTGCCGACTATCCTGTGCTTGGATTTAGCGAGACGAGCGTGCGGGTGTTAGTCAGTATGTTACAGTGTTGTTGTAGTGTGTCGTGTGCCTGTGTGCCTGTGTGTCGTGTGTCTGTGTGTCGTGTGCCTGTGTGTCGCGTGCCTGTGTGTCGCGTGCCTGTGTGTCGTGTGCCTGTGTGCCTGTGTGTCGTGTGTCTGTGTGTCGCGTGCCTGTGTGTCGCGTGCCTGTGTGTCGCGTGCCTGTGTACAGATACGTACCTGCAGCAGCAGCAGCGTGTGCAGCCAGCGCAGTCGCCAGGCAACGAGCGAGTAGCGTGCGGGCGGCGGGACCCACTCGCAGCAAGCCTCCCACAAAGATTCCACCCACGCAGCGAAACCTAGCACACATAAATTATTGATAAATCCCACTTTTTAATAAATTCAGCACAGTACAGCATATTGCGTGGTGGGTCTCGGCCCAACCTCCCTATTCCATCCACAGAGAACGCATGCGCCCCAAACGAGGTAGACATTAATAGACTGATAATGATGATTTTAGTCATTATTTGTTTGAAAGTTTGTAAAAGGACTGTAGTGTAAAATTTGTGATAGCGAAATTATATCTACTATATAAAAATAAGTCGGGTTTTCCTTCCTGACGCTATAACTCCAGAACGCACGAACCGATTTCCACGGTTTTGCTTTCGTTGGAAAGGTCTCGGGCTTCGTGAGGTTTATAGCAAAAAAAAGTTCAGGAAAAATAAAAAAAAAACTTCTTTTAATCACCAAACGAAATGTTACATAAAACGAAGCCATCTGGTGGCGAAACGGAGTTCGCCGGGTTTGCTAGTTGGATATGAAAATTGATTTCGGTTAAGAATAATGTTTCGATAATTTATTATTATTAATATTTACCATAATAAAATAACACTACATTTAGGTGGTGTTGTGTTTTTCCTGTGTATTCTTTGCGTTACCCTAGTAATCCTATAACACAAGCTTTACAGTCTTCGATCACCAATTCTATAGATAACGATTCAGCGAATAATTTCCATTTCGGTAAATATAGCCTCACTTAAGTCATGAGATCTTATTTTAAATTAGTTCGGTTAATACAAAATGAAGTTACTCATAAAAATATTTCATGCTGTTACTTTTGTGTTTACCGCACATTAAGAAAATCTATCAACAAAATAGAAATAGAATCTCTATTAAGTGGGTGCTAACGACTGCATTGTGAAGGCCTATCAAAAGTATTTATTAATCTGGAACAACGGAACCAAAGCGCGATTCAGGAGACTACAGCGCCATCTCTTGACCATTGGTGTAGTAGAACCAAAAACCACATCTTTATTTTTTATAATAAAGTAACAGCTATAGGTATTCATATTTATAATATTTATCAACATGTTTCTAGTTTGTATATTCGGAAGACGTGTTTGAGTTTCATACAAGTGCAAATCACATATGTTCTAATAAATTATATTCAGTAGCGATTTTAATTGAATATTTTGATTATTTATTTATTTTTTCAAATTAAAACTGAACTTTATTGACTGTGTCCTTTTCCAGACTTTTTATTAAATTATTGTAATTAATTATTTGCATGCAATTAAAAACTAATTTTAAACGATGCCAAAGAAGGATAACTTCTCACGCGCCTACATAAGTACACGCACCCATTTTTTTATGTTATAGGGAGCAGACGGCTCACCTGATGGTAAGTGATTACCGTCGCCCATGGACACTTGCAACACCAGGAGTATCACAAATGCGATGCCGGCCTTTAAGGAAGGAATTTAAATATGATTAGCATAAAATTACAAAAATTCTTATATAATAACATTTCAAAGTCAATCAAACAATTTACAATTAAATACCTACTTCATGCAATATTAATAAAATTAAATATTATTAAAATGACAGCATACATATTAATATTTGAAATAAATCGACTATAATTTAAACATGTCAAAGAAATTTTGTACGAGCTGTACATACCTACTTGATTGTACATTAAAATGATTTCAAATTGACCCAGATTACTTTTAAGCATACTCATGAAATTGTATTTTTTCTTGCACAATTAGTCACAGAAATAAATTAGTGTTTTTACAACATTCAAACGGTTCGGTTTTATTTAGCACTCCTTGGAGTAACCTTACCCTTAACAAGCATCAAGTGTGGGAAGCAACCCCCACATTTTTGGTCCTTCGAGCAATCGTTGCGGGATCAAGTTTCGGTTTCGTGTCTTTGGACAGTTTGTGAGTCGAAGTGCGGTACCCTAAAAATTCGTTACGTGGACAAAGTTGTACAAGTGATTAACTTCGTCGCGTTTCACCTCGCAACGTACTGAACAGTAACCAATCAAGCATCAGCAATACTTGAGCAATCTACATCGTCTTCGTCAGTCTCGCTCAATCCCAACTAGGATCACACTGAGCAGTAAGATTGACAGCAGTTCCTGAGGAGAGCAGTTAGCAGCATCTAAGTACATCAACGGCATTTCAAGTAAGATTGTTACTTTTATTTCAATTAATCATGGAATCTCTCATTCAGCGTCAGTCAGAAATCCAGGAGCAGATGAAGCAGATCAAAAGTAACTTTAGCAAGGACGCTTCGAGTCGCAAAACTTCTGATTATCTGATGAAACGTCTAACCGCTTTAGATAGTCTCTGGGGAGAGTTCAGTATGAATAATGAGCAATTACAGTTATGTGAGAATAAAGAGCAACAATATTTTTTGGAAAATACATTTGATCAAGCAAAAGATTTTTACATAAATTTACTTCATACTATATCGTCATATAAAACGGAGAAAAAGCATACAGTTGACAAGGCTATTCAGGACGGAAAGGTGAATGAATTGTTAAGCCAACAGCGTACAAATTTTCGAGCATTTAATAGGTTAGTGCAGAGTATCATTCCAAGCGAAATATTCGAAAAGTGGGAGTTAGCAGACGAATTGCGTAATTTACAATTAAAATGGAATGTTATTGATAACATGCATTTACAAATTGATAATCTTCTGCAAGGGGAGGATACATTTTATGAGCAAGAATTTATTTCATATGAAAAGAATTATAAGCAACTGAAACGTTCGCTCAATAAAAAATTATCAAATACAACCCTCACTCACCAAGCCACGCCTGTTATTGATATCCCAACATTTACGGGCAAATATAGTCAGTGGCCTACATTTTTTGATTTATTTACTGAGACAATTCATAATAGTAATACATTATCGAAAACTCAAAAAATGCAACATTTAAAATGTAAGGTAAAAGGGGATGCCAAGCGGATAATTCAACATCTTAATGTTACGTCTGAGAATTATGACACAGCCTGGGAATTATTGACACATCGTTATAATAACCCGCAGGTATTATTTACAATGCAAATTGAGACTTTTTTGAATTAGCCTAATGTCCATAAGCAAACTTCGTATGAATTAAAGAAATTATACGATACGAGTACCGAGTGCATTCACGCGATTCATAACTTAGGTATCGATACGAATACATGGGATCCTCTGTTGGTTCATTTATTAGCAAAGAAGTTGGATTCAGCCACCTACAGTGACTACAAGGAATCTCGTAAGTGTCCGAGAGACTTGCCTACACTCGAAGAATTCATGACCTTTTTAGAAACCAAATTTATTGCTTTAATAATAATAATAATAATAGGATTTGGAGCCAATAAATAGGGAAAGAAAGGATAGAGAGGTACTTCCTGCACCTACTCGTCATAATCAGCACCATCAAGGTTATCAAAAACCTATAGCAACATGGAACAACAAGCAATCAAGATTTTATTCATCCTATAAGGCAGCTCCGATTTATACCTCTAATATCAAGTGTCCATTGTGCAAACAAGATCATCAGTTATTCAGATGTCACAAGTTCCTTAACCTTTCAGCAGAAACAAAAATGAGAACGATTGTGAAATATCAACTTTGTCAAAACTGCCTATTCAAACATAATGAAAAATGTCGCTCGACAAAACGTTTTAAAGAGTGCAACGGAGAGCATAATACGCTACTTCATGACGCATGCAAGCAGGCAATGACCTCGCCTAGCAATATACCTTCTCAAGCAAGCACAACTATGTCACCCATGCCTTCAACATCTAAGCAACTTAACGTAAATCACGTTGCTGCTGAAAATGAAGAAGTTTTGTTAACAACTATACTTATAAGGGTGAGGGCAGCCGACGGCAGTTACCTTGTATTAAGAGCATTATTGGACCAGGGTTCTCAAATTACCCTAATTTCCGAAAACGCTGCTCAGATGTTAGGGCTACCAAGACAAAAATATCATGCATCGGTGTCTGGAATCGGCACAGGATCCAAATATAGTAAGGGAGTCGTATCACTAGACTGTCAATCTATTTACAATGACTACAATTTTACAACACAAGCATTAGTCATAACACGCGTTATCAATAACTTACCGAATAGTACTTTTAGCAAGCAGCAGTGGCCTCATTTGCAGCACGTTAGTCTAGCAGATCCAGAGTACAATATCTCAAGGCCTATCGACCTACTCTTAGATGCATCAGTGTACTCTGAGATTATTATGAGTGGACTTATAAAGGGTCCAAGTCAAGCACCAATAGCCCAACAAACGAAACTAGGATGGATCTTATCAGGTAACGTGAATAAGTTCCAATGCAATGTCGTCATTAATAACATTGAGGAAATATCTAAGTTCTGGGAGATGGAAGACATCACTAGCAACACGAGCAACCTTACACTAGAGGAGCAATACTGCGAGGACTTTTACCAAGCAACAACTAAGCGATTAGAAGATGGACGGTATGAAGTCGCGCTTCCAATGAAGAAGGGATTTGAAGCAAATCTCGGTGAATATAAACAAAAAGCAATAGCACAGTTCAAACAATTAGAAACAAAAATGAGAAAACAGCATAACTTCTCAGAGGAATATAAATCTTTTCTAGAAGAATACCAGCAATTAGGTCACATGATACCAGCACAAGCAACAACAAGTCCCAGTTTCTACTTACCTCATCACGGCGTGTTGAAATTGGACTCTAGCACGACTAAACTTCGAGTTGTATTTAATGGATCATCAAAAACATCATCGGGTCAAAGCCTCAATGATTTAATGGAACGCGGCCCAAATTTACAAGTTGATTTACAAGATTTGATATTGAGGTGGAGGAACCATAAATACGTCATCACAGCAGACATTGAGAAGATGTTCCGGCAAATACTAATCAGAGCAGTAGATCAACCCTTACAGTCAATAATATGGCGGAACACTCCCAATGAGCCTCTACGTGAATATCAACTAACAACCGTAACCTACGGTACTAAAGCAGCACCATACTTAGCAATAAGAACACTACGTCAATTAGCAAAGGATGACGCATCAAAG